TTAGGACTGGTTCAGGTTTATAGTTAGGGCCGGCTCAGGTTTCTAGTTAGGGCCGGTTTAGGTTTCTAGTTAGGGCCGGTTCAGGTTTATAGTTAGGGCTGGCTCAGGTTTATAGTTAGGGATGGCTCAGGTTTATAGTTAGGGCCGGCTCAGGTTTCTAGTTCGGGCTGGTTCAGGTTTGCCTTGGACCAGCCCCTAGGTAAGCTGCTATAGGCCTAGACTGTCGGGGGACTTCCTAGGATACACTGAGCTCCTCTCTCCTCTTCTTTTTCTCTTTCTGTATGAATTAATGTCCCATTAATAATCATTACTGACTTTGCTTCTTCCCCAGAGTCTTTGTGCTTTCTCTCCTCACAGGTTCTATGGATCGAGGTTTTATCTGGACCCTGGTCCTGCCTCTGACCATGGTCCTGCTGACTCCCACTGCTAATATCACTTTTATTATTACTCACATTACTATTTTATACTACCGATACCATTAATGCACATTACTAACTTTGCTTATTCTCCAGAGTCTTTGTACTTTCTCAACTCACAGGTTCCTGTGGATCCTGGTTATACCTGGACCTGGTCTTGCCTCCTGCTGTGGTTCTGTCATATGCATTGAATGTGTTGTAACTTTGTTATGCTGTTCATTCTGTACACATGACATCTATTGCACTTCAGTCTGTCCTGGGAGAGGGATCCTCCTCTGTTGCTCTCCCACAGGTCTCTTCCTCTTTTTTACCCATTTTTGGGGAGTTCTTACTGTTCCGATGTGAGTGTTCCAGGACAGAGGATGTCGTATGTGTACAGATTGTAAAGCCCTCTGAGGCAAATCTGTAATTGGTGATTTTGGGCTGTACAAAAATAAATTGAATTGAATTTAAATTTAGTGTGAAGTTGTCATGTGAGGAAAAGAAATGAATATCAGCAATCTTATTGAAAATGCCCACGATGACGTAAAGCTGAGCTCCTGCTGACAGTCATGGGCATCCAAACGCACCACAGCTCATGACATAATCTGCTCACACTCATCTATGAGTTCTCATACTCAGCTGGTGATCAGTGTGTACGCTGTGGTCAGGAAGTGTTTGAAGGAAAATGGAGCCCATTCGGGATAAGTGGGATGAGTGATGACTGCAGTGTACCAGGAGCTTTTTAAGGACACCAGCATGAGGAATGTGGCGGATACGTATGTAACGGGTGGAGGCACAGGCACACACACACACACACACACACACACACACCTCACACGCACTGACACACATGCTCTCACACAGCTGATTCCACACTGAACACGTACATTTAATTGCACAGAGGTGGACTCAGGCTGTATGAGGGACAGAGTAATCGCACTTCCACTCTAAAACGGAAGTAAGTTTACAAACTGACTCAAGCGGCCGTGTTCAGACGGTTAGGATTTAGCATAAATAATGAACTAAATAAGACTTGATGCAAGGCTTTTTAAGACAATACAGTAAAAAGATAGTGTTCTCTGCTACTCATCATGCAATATTGGTTATGACACTATCTTGAAACTGCAGTCACTTAACAATCAGTGAACGATCTGTGATTTCATTAAATAGGCATCTAGATGGTGCGGAAAAAGATCTAAACTTCCTTAAACTTTTAAAATCCTTTAACAAGATGAAACATGCAGAATCCAAACGGCCTTCTTCAGTGTTAAACTGGCTGCTAACTGATGAAACACCGGCCTGGACTTCTGTGAGCTCTTTATAGCGTTAGCACCTCTTCCTGCATGCTGCAAACACTTCTTGTTCATCCTCTGGAGTGCTATGGAAGTTTGAATCTGAGTAGTTCAGCAGGATTTGCCATTTCCGTTCTTACATTTCAAGGAAACCTGACAGTGAAAAGAGTCTCGTCACGTCTATGGGTACAGAATCAATGCAGATTGGTTTTTGCAGAAACAAGTTTCCTTGTTTGTGTTTTATATGAAAAATGTTCTGGTGGATGGTGTGGATGGTGGATAGCTGAGAGACTCCTGACCTCCATGTGTTTTGGAAATGTTTGCCCGGCTGACAAACAATGGTTGGCACATGGCCAGGCAGGAGGCTGCCAAACTGGCAACCCCTCCACCCCTCTGCGACTCCCTCCTCCTCCCGCTCCTCCATCAGTGTCCGACGCAGCGTGGCCAGTACACACATCCTGCCTTTGTAGGCCAGGAATTCGAAGAATCCAGACTGCTGCCCAACAAGGTGCTCTCACCTCACCTCCCTCTCATCCCCCATCTCACCCCAGCGTCCCAGTGGTTTTACAGCCGAGCCGGCCTGGTGTCTGGCTGCCTGCATGTGGTTTGATGTTGTGTTCTTGCAGCACACAGTAACATCAGAGTTACAGTCTGGAGCTACAACAACACCTGCCCTCAGGAAGTGAACTGTGTGTAGTTGTACCAACTGTCAACCTCAAGGCCATACACAGCTTTGATGAAGGTTTCAGGGTGTGCTGTGGGGTCTGAGGCCAGTCCTCCTTCATCTCTAAATGTGACCTCTTTAATGCCAGTGAGCGTGGCAATGCTTGTGAAATATAGGGCATTCAAATTCTTTATTGAAATACACATAGATATTACTACCTGCAACATATTTTGATGGTGATAATAGTCACAAAACATTGTGGTTTGTGGCCCCTTAAAGTAAGAAGTTCTCCAAATCAACTTAAAAAGTGATAAAATGTCTTTCACTGCCACGAAGCAGCCCAAAAAAAACTGATTTCAGGTTTAAAGAGCAACTTAACAGCAAATGAAAGCTGCACTGACGTAGATGTGTACTCAAAGGTGTGTCAGTACACTGTGACATCACTATTGGGTGTGGTCACTAGTACATCAGAGCACACTTTGACCTCACCCAGCATGGATGACTTAGGGCTTGAAGAACAGCCTAGTGCTAACTTCCTGATGTCTCCGTGTGACTCCTCATAGGCTGGTTTCAGACCTCCAAGTCAGAGGAGCAACTGACCAATCAGAGCTTAGTAGACCGCATCAGTGCGAGTCCTCTCTGTCTCTCCATATCAGGTTCTGTGGGCGATTTATAATCATACGTGCAGCGCCGGTGTTTTTGCGGCGCAGGGCCTCACAAGCCGTATGAACATAAAAAATGTGTTCACATCCTTTTTGTGAAATAATTATTATACTGTTTGTCCCAACTTTTTATCTGTGAACCAGAAGGCTGCAATGAAACTTTATTTAAAAGTTTTCTGTATCTGCTCTTTTTATAGGGCAAACATTTCCAGAAGAATGAAATGTTCCGATGAAGGCTGTGATGTGTGTAGTAGAATAGTGATTTAGTCTTGAAGCTGTTTGCCATTAATCTAGGCCTTTGAACCCAATATCTCTTAGTATGTTTTACTATAGACATTTAGAAGGTAGGCTAATAATGATACACATGCAAACATGTGATTAAGGGGGGGACTGCCACTTATTTTCTTCCACTTCAAACACTGGACAGCATTTGTAATGAGGTCATCTTCCTAAACAGCGAGTGAGCTACATCCACGATAAACAGGGACGAATGATTGATGCAGCTGTGCAGGTTCTGGATCTGCATGTTCTATGTTGCAGCTTCTATGTTGACTGGAAATGGTATTGGTGGGACAGACACCTGCTGAACAAAAATATATTGTGAATTCAGTTTGATTGTTTTTGCTTCTACAGAGTTGTGAGCAGTTCAACCAAGGAGGGGATTCCCCTTGCTTGGGGTTGTTTCATGCGATGGGTTATTACAGACTTTAGGGAGTATCCAGTCACAACATAATCAATATCATTTTGCAATTGAAAATTCATTCTTGACCTTGAGTCTTGTTTAAAACCATGTTGCCACAAAGTCCACCCAGTAGGACAGGACAGACAGACAGGTGTCAAGATAATGTAGACTTTGAAATCTCCATTTCTTTCTGGAAATTTGAAGGACTTCTTTTCAGATGTCTAAGCTGTGCCTCTCCAGACCAGCTGCTGAGCCAACATGGACATGACGCCCTTACATCATTGACATTCCCTTGACAACAGGGCAACTCCATCTGCTGAGGAAGACGATGCGATATGATCAAAAGCTCCACAACAGCCACTGTATGGACCTCAGACCTTTTTGTGAAAAGCACAATTTTGCGTGTGGTGCCCTTCTAGACATCTCTAAGCCCAGGCTGGGAATCCCTGCTACCTACTGTTTTACTACAGTTCATCCTGGTCAGAGGTCCCACAGAAAGCACAGCTGCTCAGTTCTTCTGAAAGTATGTAGTAAATAATTACTCCAGGTTTGTCAGGGAGCAAGGGGAGACCTTCATCAGTGTTATCAAATGATCCGTGTTTCATGACAGCGTGAGCCAGCGCTCAATGTGAGGACCTTCCTGCTCTCCAACAAAACACTCTTTACGTGCTCAGCGATGACAATGAGAATGCAGAGTCTTTCCTACCAATCATGGGAACCTGAGGACAGGCCTGTGTTTCCTGGAATGTGGCCCAATCGGAAAGAGATGGAGGGAACACAGGATGTCCTGAGCACAGTGTCCCTCAGCACACTGAAGTGGAGAGGACTGAGCCCAGCTGGTTGGAAGAGTTATTCACAGGGATCTTCTCCACATCCCCCGCTTCCCCTGTCAAAGACACAACCATGATGGTGTGGGATTCCCCACTCAGGCTTTCCATTATACCTGTCCCCTAATCATTCCTTTCTTTCTCTTGCCGGTATGTGTAGGGCTGAAGATTACTCTTGAGCCCTAAAGCTCAATATATTTGAATCATTATTTGGTTGCCTGGATTCACCAGTCACTCTTAATTACGAAACATTTGCATACATTCGGACACTTAGACATCTCTCCCTGGGGTCACATGTCCACGATAACACAGTGATTTGAAGCCGTCTCTGTTCGTATTTCACACCACCTCCCTCTGGACGCTGTCCAGCCGTCTTGAGAGGAGAGGTAATGATATATGGCGGAGGGGGCGGGGGCATGTGTGTCTATAAGAACAGGCCCTGCACAGGGAAACCTAACAACAAGTTGCTGTCGGAGAGCGAGAGCAGACGGGTGCACCTCTCTGTGCACAGACTCTGAACTGTGGATACATTTTTATCCTGGAACCAACAAACCAGACTTCTCTCCTCTAGGACTTTGGATGTTCCATCTAAACTTCTTACTTCTGCGATTGTTATTCCTTTGGAATACATTTTTTCTAGCCATTTGATCTTTCTGTTCATGTGCTGTAAGCAGGATGCTTAGCCCTGCTACTATGCAGCAGATCATTTTCACCCTGTTTGTGCTTGGCAGCGCTGCAGTGATGGTGAGTTGCTCTGACTTGTGGCCACTTGCTTTTAAACCTTCTCTGTTACTTCCTGTTTCTGAAATGTCCCATTATCTCGTCATTATATGTAATATTAGATGAACTGTCATCTTATTCTTTCGATTTTTCATCTTTACACTCACACCCATCCTGCCCTAACCTCTGACCCTGGTCCTCAGGCAGAGAGTGAGTGCCCGGCTGAGTGCTCCTGCCCCCCCTCACCCCAGCCGTGCCCGCCGGGCGTCAGCTGGGTGACCGACCACTGTGGCTGCTGTAAACTCTGTGCGAGGCAGTATAATGAGGACTGCAGTGCCACCGAGCCCTGCGATCATATTAAGGGGCTACGCTGCCATCTGGGGGCCGGAGGAGACCCCGAGAGAGGACTGTGTCGAGGTGAGTGAAGGCACGTCGTTAAACTTCAATAAGAAAACAGCCATTAACTTCATGTCTACATATACACACAACAGCTCACATCATGGGGAGACATATTATCACATGTTAGGTCTGGAGGCGCTGAAACAAATACATGAAATATGAAGTTGCATCATGGGAAATTTAGGATCCAGAGTTTTTGGAGATGGGGGTGACGTAATATATATATTTCTGCCTCTATTGCACAAATGTTCACATTCTTTTTTACTATAGAAACTTAATTGTTCAAAAAATTGTAGACAATACAATTCTTTGTGCAGTTTGATCGTGACTATAATTTATTTGTGATTATGTTCGTGTAGAAACGCAGGTTTTCCACTGCGTCCTGTGAAGTTCAAAGGTTTCCCTTCACAGCTGTGTGTTTGTGTGTGTGTGTGTGTGTGTGTGTGTGTGTGTGTGTGTGTTGACAGCTGAGGCCCAGGGTTTGCCCTGTGAGTTCAGTGGACGGGTGTACCAGCATGGCGAGGACTTCCAGCCCAACTGCCAGCATCAGTGCACCTGTATGGACAGGGTGGTGGGCTGCATGCCCCTCTGTCCTCGTCAAGTGCCACTGCCCGACTGGCGCTGCTCGCGGCCCCGGCTGGCAAGGCCCGAGGGCGGCTGCTGCGAGGAATGGGTGTGTGACGACAACAACCACATCAGGGAGGAGCCAGACGAGCTGTCGCACACCTCCCTGCCAGACAGCCGGGCCCTTCCCAACCACATCAGTGCCCTGCTGCAGGCCGGGGCCACACTCAGAGGTGAGCTTCTCCTGAGGCCCCCCACCAGCACTGTGGTCTGAAGGAGATGTATTACTGTTGATGTGCAGGAGTTAAGCCGAGCTCAACGTCAGAATCACCGAAGACATTTTCCACAATATACTATTGCATGATTAATGATTAAACGAATCATGTGGAAAACTGCTTTGGAATCCATATTGAACTGGTTTCAGATCATTCTGACTTCACTAAACAAGAACTTGACTTTTGGTGTAATTCTGTGATAAAACAGGCCGTTACTCTAACGTTTCATTAGAATGTATACATTTCATATTCCAGTCAGAGATTTTTAGGCATCTTTTTATAAAACATGTATGAATATATATATATATATATATATTTAACCTAAATATGTTTGTTTGAGATTTAAAGTCCTAAACCCTTCTAGTGAACCTGCTAGTAAAAGAAAAGCGTTAATGTGAAAGTTTTAATCATGACAGTATGAATTTGTCCTCGTGTGAGCAAAGCTGATATTTCATCCTGAGGACTACAGGGAAGGGTTCATCCTCAGGGGAGCATGGATGTGCTCAGTTAATATAATGGCAACGTTCACATCAGACTTGGATATCTCTTCTGTTAAAGTGGAGATTTTGACCTGACATTGATACTACAGGTCAGGTCATGATGTGTCATTCAGCTAATGTGTCCTGTTGTTGAGTTATGGTGCTCAAATGGCTGACTGTATGCTCAGGTTCTTCCATTACTGCGGTAAGAGATAGCATCACATGGATGGATTTATTTTACAAAATCACTAGATGCTTGAGGGTTTGCTGGGATGCATTGTTTGATTGTGACTCATTGCCGTTGTTTTTTGGCTTTCCCACAGAGATGGTGTCCTTCCCCATGTCTGAGGTTTTACTCAAATCCAGCTGTTTCCCACAAACCACTGAGTGGACCGAGTGTTCCACTACGTGCGGGATGGGCATTTCAAGTCGAGTGAGTAATGACAACCCAGACTGTCGGCTGCTCAGAGAAACCCGACTGTGCCAGATCCGCCAATGTGAGCTGCAGCTTCCTGTAGCTAGCAAGGTACGCTAACATACACACCTGCTAGGAAATGAAAGACTATTGGAGATAAACATAATGTATTTGTGGCATGGAAGGGATAATAGGCGATATTACAAACTCATCCCAATTTCTTTGAAAGGTCCAGTACTGGTAGAGCTGCTTTGAGATGAGTATTGTCTACTGTAGCCTGTTTGTCAGTAAACATCCTCTGAGTAAATGTGATTTTCAAATTGTTAGGAAAACGAATAATAACTGCTGCATTGTTCCTTGATCAAATGTAATGATAGTTTCTTGATTTTAACGGTGGCTCTGTCTCTGTCGTCCAGAAGTGGAAGAAGTGTCAGCGAATTGTCCGCCCCCAGGAACCAGTCACAATCACCTTCGCCGGATGCTCGACTTCACAGCGGTACCGCCCTCGTACCTGTGGGACTTGCACCGACGACCGCTGCTGCACACCCTCCCTCTCACGCACTGTGATGCTCCGCTTCCACTGCCCTGATGGAGAGGGCTTCTACAGAAAGGTCATGTGGATCCAGCGCTGCAGCTGCAATACAAGCTGTTGTATTCACAGCGGGCCCTCCAGCCCCTCGGTCAGCCTCCACAACGACATCCACACCTTCAGTCACTGAGGCTGACTCTTCAGGCCCACACTGGGCAAAGACTCTGCCCCTCCCCCTGCCTAAGCCCACCACCCCTGTCAGCTGGGTGAGCCCCTGCCTACCCCCCTCCCTACACTCGCTTGCACTTTAAGCGTCCTGCTGCAGTGACATCAGTCTGTCCACACTAGTGTTACTCCTCTTGTGCAAGGCAGCACTGAGGACAACAGGCAGCGGCATGCTGTGTTAGTCTGTTGGCAGAAGCTTTTACTGACACTTCTTTTATTTCAGTGTGATGTTGTGTCCTCTCCACAGAGAGCCGTGTGACCGTCTGTCACACAGAAAGAAGCTTGTTAAACCAGTCAAAGGGAACATTTATGACAAGTGATGAAAATGATGGACATGCATTTGAAATAATGAGGAAGAACTAGTTGACATATTCATTAGTGACTATAGGGGCTATGTGTTCTTTATTACCTATCTTTTGTGATACACCTGTACTGATTGTGGCATTGAGTGTGTGTGTGTGTGTGCGTGTGTGTGTGTGTAGTTGAAAGTGTCTGTTTGAAGGATGAGAAACTTTCACAAGTGAGAGTTTACAGAGAATGTGCTCATTATGCTCCTACAGTATATTGATTAAAGAATATAATGTATATGGACTTCACTCTTAGTTGTGGAGTGGCAAGTACTAGGATCACCTCATTTTTCGGGGTGTGATTTTATATTTTTTTTGTGTGTGTGTGTCCTTCACAGTGTACATACAAGGTCTTATTTTAAGGAGTGAAATGATGCTATGTATTTAAGACATGTTACACATGTTCATCCAATATATTGTCTGTAATTTCCTGCACATCAAATAAAAATGTATCAACCTGTAATCCATCTTATTTTTTTGGTTAATGTTTGAATTAAATGAATCGAGAGGCATTGCAGACGTTGCACTTTTACTCTCTGTTTTAGTGTTGAGGGTAACTCACTTGATTCTCATGAAAAACCACGTCGGCAGGCTTCATACTGTGTCTGGACCAATCAGCATCCTGTGAGAAGCCGCAGGTTTAGGTGTGTGTGTAACGACACAGAGAGGTTAGCGTAGATGCTGCAATAGAGCACAAGGTCTATCAGATCTAGAGAGGATCTCTTCATTGAAAGAAGAGCAAGACGACACTGAAGGCTTTT